GATAGAGGTAGATAGATAGATGATAGATAGGTATGATAGATGGATAGATGATAGTAGATGGTAGATAATAGATAGGTAGATGATAGATAATAGATAGATGATAGAGCCACCCCTGTTTGGGCACCACTCAGTAGAGCCCTCCATCATCTGTGCCTCCATCCCCCATCCCCCTCCCCCACTGCCCGGCTGCCCGCTCGCTGAGAGTCAGCGACCCTGTGCATTTCCAGTGCCCCCCGGACACACACCTCGTGTTGTTTCCCCTGAAACACTGAGCTTATTGCAAAGGATTGTGCCAAAGAGGTGGGTCAGGCGGGCCTTGGACCATCTGCTTCACTGAGGCCCCCCAACCGCTATGGGCAGCCAGGGAGCGGGGGCCAGTCCCCCTGCACATGAGGGCCGTCTTCACCGGTGCCGCCCTGTGCCCGCGAGACTGTCGCCCATGGATAGGGTGCTCCGACCCAGCCTGGTTTATTCCGAGGGAACCCAGCGATCTGGTTTTGCTCCGGTAATATTTACACCTTGGTACTCTGTCCGATCTTCCTGCCCAGCTGGCGTGGCTCCGTGGTTGAGCTTCGACCTATGAGCCAGGAGGTCACAGTTCCATTCCCGGTCAGGGCACAGGCCCGGGTTGTGGGCTTGATCCCCAGTGGGGGACTTCGGGGAGGCAGCCGATCCATGATTCTCTCTCATCACTGATGTTTCTCCCCTCCCCCCTTCCTCTGAAATCAACACAAATATATAAATTTTAATAAAACACCAGACTTCCTGCCCTAAAGAGCAATGGCAGGCTCTTTTCCTCGCCGTCAGGGATCCCCCGCAGGTGAATGGGGAGCGAAGGGGCCGGCCGGGGGGCTGTTCCAGCCGCAGCCGGGGCGCCTCCCTCTGGGGAGCCGTATGAGGTCCAGGCCGCCGCGTCAGCCGCTTTTGCAGAAGGACCTGATGTGGTGATTGTTACAAAACACAGCTGACGGGGCCCAGCGCCAAGCGCTGACCCAACAGCATTCCCTCCCGCTCAGCCCTCAGCTCACCAGGCTGGCGGCCTCGCGATTTCCCAGGATGTGCAAACCTCCCTGCTCTGCGCATCGTGGCCTGGCCTCAGAGCCTTCCCACCGCCCCCCCCACCCCCCGCCCCCCTTCCCTTCAGTCCTGGCCCCTTTCCCTCTCCTACAGCTGTGTTTATTCACTGTCCAAACACACTGGCAACAGAGTCCCTCCCTTC